GAGACGGGAGGAATTTGCTCTTCATGTGCGAGACAGTCCATAGAAGTGCCACTGGCCGGCTGGGGATCGATAGAAAAGTACCAATTGGAAACAAGCTAGTTTATCATTTCAAACTTTAAATGAAACTGTTTTAATTTGTTGTTAAAATTTTCCAGTCTCCAGACGTTACATTCAGATGATATTCAACTTTTTGTTTTTACTTTTTCGCAACTTTACAAACCAAGTTGCGATGGTCACCCCTGTCTCTTAGCCCTAAAGATTGCGTACTCGGTAATCTGAACCTAACACATGGCCACTTTCCTGTTAGCGATTCGCAAGTAGGTATTGTCTTTTTGCTGATACCGTCTGACGGAAATGTAGGTGGTCGTTATACAAAGGTTAAAGTATGAATAGGTCTACAATAGGGTGGTCGCTGGTCGCGTTGGACAGGTGGTCACTATATCCAGTGTCTTTAACATGTAAATTGCGAAGGGACTGTACTAAGGTGGTCGCTATGAGCAGGTGGCCGCTCTGCACAGGTGGTCGTTAACACAGGTTTGACTGTAGTTCTTCTAGCAACTAGTCAATGAGACCACTGAGCCGAACAGAATACATGTATAAACAGTACTATAATAAATTGCACGCAATGGAGAAATCACGTGCCGTAAAAACAGCAGCGTTACTCACAGATCTAATCTACTGTAAAATATTTTATTTCAGCTGGAATTACCATTCGCTGAAAAGACTTTTTCTGGGTGTTTTGTATTGAATTTATTTTCATTGATTTTTGACAAGTTGACTGTAAAATATAAGAAAAGGGTATATTCGCTGGATTTTATTTTAACTGAAACATTCCTTCAGCGAAAATAGCAAAAAAATGTTGCAAGCAAAAATTAAGTATTTTACAGTAATTAATTTATTCTGAGCATGCGCAGACGTTCTGTCAATGTTGCCGGGAGAGGTAATTTTTGATAAAAATCGTGAAAAAAACCCACTTGGGATTTTCAGATCTGGAAAAAAAATTACGTGCATACTTGGAGGGGACATGTTCATCAACCTGCCAAGTTTCACTGATATCTGCTGTAGAATTTCTGAGAAAATGTTGGAAACGGAAAAATGGACATAACCTGAATTATACAGTCCCCTTTTCAGGCTGCGCCTGAACGGGGACTAATAAAGTTATTAGACAGGGAACTTTCTATTTCCCGGGTATAACCCTGTTTCACAGTCTACCCAACAAAGAGTAAAACATGTGGTAAACATGTCTCTACAAACCTGTGTTTCCATGAGAGGTCTTTGAAATGGAAATGAATCTGGGTTTATGCACCAGACTGAGTCCATGTCTTCACTCTGTCCACAACACAGTAATAGGGTACCTAGGAAAATAGAACAGTGTCTGGCAAATGAAACTTGCATGGTGCCATGTATCCACAAGTCAATACTGTTTAATAATTCAAACCAAAAAGTCTTGTTAATTATATTTGTAAAAATTGAAAAATCCTCCCTGGGTCTCCTGGCAGGAAATGCTAGGTGGTAACTGCCAAGTGATTGTACTGTCTTGTATTAGAATCATACACATTTTTACCATGATTATAAAAATGATATGCAATTAGGTAATTTTATAATTTGGGACATTGTAGAGATTGTTTCTAGCAATACATTAACATAATGTGTATTAAGTCAGTATGTATGCATTATCAAGTGTAGAATATATAACGCATATTTGCTTTATTAGAAGTGCATCTCCAAAGGATTATGTTTGGTTGGAATTTAAAGTACATAAACTTGTGATTACATATGTGTATGCCTTTCTCATAAAGCAGTACATAGTGTTGAATTACCTTGCTTGTAGTAGGCTTTGTGTACATTAGATGGTCTTTGTGGTGCTGCTGTTGCTGTGAATCCAGGCGGAAGTCTAACATGTACTAACGCCAGCATTGACGGCCGAGCATGCAAGTTATTAAAAGGAGCAGTCGAAAAATATAAACGTACACCTGCAACGACAACAAGAAAAGTAAAATTAATTGTACATGCATGTATTCTACATTAAGTATATATTTTGAACATTACACAGCGACAAAAATCACATTGCTCCCTTTGAGGTTGTTTTCCCCAAGTGTAACATTAAAACACTGTATCATTACTCACTCTCACCCACCCACAACCTAGGCTAGGCTAGGCTAGGCAACAAACTGTCAAAATAGAATAAGGGAAGAGTAGGAAATCAAACGGGCGGTGCACCGCGGTCATTACCGCGGTGTACCGCAGAACGCCGGGGAGAGCCGCGGACTGCTTATAATAAGGGGTCTCTACCGCTGTACCGGTCTCTACCGCGGTCCTCGGTAATGTGTGAAATACGTACTTAACAGTTTCTTTGTGATTCCACAAGTCATTGTTTTAAAATCCGATGCTGTAAATGAATACGATATGTGCGCTTGTTTAGTATTTAGTACATGTATTTAGCGTAAATTTCCAAAGTGATGCGAAACAATTTTTCATGGTACATGTATAGGTATACCTTTATTACACTGGAATAAAGTTTACAATTGAAAAGAGGACGATTTACAAAGTTTCAGCGTATCCAAGCCGTATCCTGGTTCTTGATTGATTTGTCAGTATTGTGTCACACTCCAGAAAAAATGGCCAGCAAACGAGAAATGGGCGAACTAATCAAAACAGGTCAGCTGTCTGCATTGCACTGACAATGACATGATTACTTTCTGTTTCATTTCATAAATCTTGCCTTGCGCAT